GTTTTAATTTTCAAAAAAGTTTTAATAGTCTTTTTTTCAGCAGGCCGTAATAATATATAACTGACTGCAATTCAAAATCTGAAACTTTTTCCTTATAATACACAAGAAAAGGGTTTAAGAAATGCTTTCTTTATGACAGTGCATGACGAAAGAAATGCGATTTTTTTCAGTATATGCAGGGTGTATCGGTACAGCGGTGACAAACTTTCAGGAGAGATAGAGTACACCTAGGCGACGGGAAATTACACAGAAATGCATCGTCGGAAACGCTTTGTGACGACACAAAAGTCAAGAAAGAAAGGGCACAAAAGGGGTGAGAAAACATGTTTATTATTCGGAGTAAAACAAAGAACAAACAACATAAAGTGACAACGATCATCATCAAAGAAGGTGTTCGAAATTACGACCCGGACTGTCATGCTTCTTCCATGCGCCAGAGAAGTAAGGCCTGCATCATGGTCCGGGGTCGTAATTTCGAACACCTTCTTTAATGACAACTGATGTTTGTTTTTGTTCTTATTTGTAGGTTTCTGCTGTACTAAACATAATATAACATGTTTTATCTCACTGTTTGTGTCCTTTCTTTTCTCTTTTTTTTTTTTTTTTTTTTTTCCCCCGTTTATTGTCGTCACTACCACACCAGTAAAGCTTTTCCGACCATGCATTTCTACGTTCTTTCTCATCGTCTAGGTGTACTCTGTCTCTCCTGAAAGTTTGTCACCGCTGTACCGATACATTCTGTATAGGCTTTCGAAACAGGGTACATGAAAAATCAGTAACGCTCTCGCACATATTCCAATGAAATATATTAATTGCATAATGTTATGCAGCTTTAAGTGCTGAAGAAAAAAAGTTGCATTTAATAACCTGCAGAATCTCCAACCCGATTATTACCGTTTCTCTCCTACACGCAAAATTCGATAAAAGAAGAAGTTTTCTATCCTACGTCTTTCAATCAATAAATGAAAAATATATTGCCTTTAAAAAGTGAACAAAATATGTTTCCACTTTAACCTCCGCATTTCAATCTCTTTTGAAATACAGTTATCTACATAATTTTACAACTCTAAACACTGATGGCGCGACACATGTAAACAACTCAGCATTTTCAAGACAGGAATTTGAGGCACCCGATAACAATTCTTTTCTTTCTTAAAATATTTTGTAAAAACCGAAATATCATCAAAAACAGAGTTATTTGCCGTTTCTCTTATCTAAATAAAAGCCAGAATTTAAATTCTTTAAAAGAATTTGACTGTTCATCCTGATAACTCGAAAATATTGCATATAACATCCTTTCCAAAATCTTTTGTAGAAACCGGAATATCATTGAAAACAGATTTACTTGGAATTTCTGTAATCTAAATAAAAGTTAGAATTCTTTTTAAAAATATTTGTCAAATTTTACTTGATGATGCTGAGTAGTATGTCAGATGCTGAACATGAGGACAGGAGCATTTATGACTTTTTTTTTTTTTTTTTTTAGAAAGAAATCATCCTGACAACTCGAAAATAAAGCAGATAACATTTATTCCAAATTACATATGTCGTCTTAACTTTATTTAGTTTTTCCAGTTAGGAAAAAAAAAAAAAAAAAAAAAGTCATAAAATGCTCCTGTCCTCATGTTCAGCATCTGACATACTACTCAGCATCATCAAGTAAAATTTGACAAATATTTTTAAAAAATGTATTAGTTTATAAGGCATTTCTCCCGCCTTCTTGGCATGCCTTCGTGGTGTAGGGATCAGAACGATCGACGCGTTTTCGAGAGGTACGTGGTTCGAATCCCGATGAGGACATTGCTCATTTTTCATCTCTTTTGCTTTAAAAAAAAAAAAAAAAAAAAAAAAATCTCTACAAATTCATCAGGGTTATTTCGTTTACTTTGTACTAGCTACAGCAAAAGCTGCCAAACCAGGATTCCCCCCCCCCTAAAAAAGGGAAGAATTAATATTTTTGTTTCATTAAATGCAAATAAAAGTATAAAACTGATTAAAAATATCATCACTTTAATATTTTCAGTATATTTTACATGATGATGAGTAAATTTTAAATGTCCATATGGTACGGCACAACGCCAAAACCACATATCTGGAAAATGCTTGCATCGAGAAAATTGCGTTTACTGAGGAAACTTTGCAAAATTTTTTCGGAAAAAGCAAGTTATGGCATTTTAGATAATAAATCATTTATATATACACTTCAGAAAATAACCAACTTTCTCTTTCGCTTTAGTGTAAAATTGGGAAAAAAAAAAAAAAAAAACCGACAGAGAGAAAGCATGATATCGAAAGCAGCAAAAATTGCAGTTTAGCTATTTTAAGAAGACATTAAAATGCTACATAAAAATACAAGTAGAATACGTGAATAAAATTCTCATTGACGTAATTCACTTTCAATCGCTGTGGCCACGAACATAAATAAACTACGTATATTAGGCATGCAATTCGTTATATTTCTTTGCTAAAGAATTAAGTCCATGAATACTTTTCGTGTACCATACCTTTGATTTCCACCTGAAATCACTTAAAACTTTCGCCATACCAGAAACTATGCAGAAAATGTTTCAAAAACATTCCACTGCTAAATAAACTAAATACTATTTGAACGGTTAATTCTAGACTCAGCGTTATAGTTATTATGCGATTTACACAGTAAATAACGTGATTAAGCTGACAGGAGCCTTTTAAATTAAAATGGTAATAACCCATTTTAATTTAAAACTCGCTCCCGTTTCAGATTCCTGTAAATGCTATTTGTCAAGAGTACTCACATAGAAAGCTTCTCTCTTAATTACTTATGATCTTATGATGCGATTTACGGCTAAGTTTCTAAAATCTACAACAGCACCTACAGGCAACAGATCATGCTATGTAGCTTCTAGACTCTCACAGATTCATTTAATGTCAACAACTTCCTGCTGTGAAACGGCACAGATACCGAAAGGTTACCCTTCTTGGTTTGTTCCCGCATGGAGACCGGATATTATTTTGCGGTTTCCGAAAGCTACTGATTTATTCATCACTATACCTCTCTTGAATACGAAATGAAAATCGCGACTGCATCAGAATTGGAAAACGCAATCGATGACAAGCTTAGCTCAATCAAGCTCAGCTGAACACGCCACTCGGAACTTTCCCTTAATTATTGCTCTCTATGCATTTACAAATCTAATGTTCTCAAATTAAATACCGAAGGAACGTTCAAATTTTATCGTGCGATCGATAAATTTAAGCAGATGTACTCCGGAAATGGTAACCTAATTTTAGAAGAACATATGTCAAATTTTAGACCACTTAAGTAATGCCGACACGTTTTACAAAGTCGTGGTTAGTTAGTTTGATGTGGAACAGTAATTCAATCAATTAAGGCTATCTTCTAAATTCAATTCATTCGGTTTATTTCTTTATTTTAAAAATATCCCGTGAAAGGACAGGCAATTTCTCGTTTTCACACTCACGCAATAGTTCGATATAGGTTTTTAGTAGTGACTCCCATTTAACACTCGTGAAACTAAAAACATATATTCTTACCTTAAGCAGTGAATTTATAGAGTCATTCGGTTATGTCAGCACTCGGACGTGAAAAATATGCAATGCCCTCGCCGGATTCGAATTCCGGACCACCCGAATACGCATCGAGTGTGCTTCCAGTTACACCACGAAAGCATGCGAAAAGAAGGAGAAAAAATACCTTATAAATTTCAAACTGCGCTCTACCGAACGTTGGAGTTCCAGACAACTCCTTAAAGGGTTCCGAAAGTCAAATTAAAATTAAAAAAGAATTTTTATATACTTGGAGTAGTAACCGCAGGTACTCAGCCAACGGAAGTGAGGTTACAAGAAAGAGGCGTGACCACGCAATCTTCAAACTGCGTGACGTGATAACCGGAAGTGACGCAGACGTGTTTTGAATGTTGCCATGCATAACAGTTTACTTTTCTGACAATATTTTCTCAAAGTTTTTTTTTTTTTTTTTTTTTTTTTTTTTTTTTTTTTTAACGATTTCTTGAATCAGATGTTTGAGCATATTACGTCCTCCTGACGCTATTTTGTAAAAGCATGCCTAAACAAAAAAACTGATGATGTCATTCCAAACACACGGTTCAAAGAGGTCGTCGTAAAAAAAATTATCATCCATGCCATCATTCAAACACATCTACGACATTTCTCGTTGTCTCGTCCAAGATGGCGGCTAGCAGGCCCCTATTTTGAGACGTCACTTCCGCTGCACGAATCTCTCGGCTACTACTCACGGCGACGAAAAATTATCTGTCTAAAATAAAAAATTAAATAATATTTTTATTGCCATCATTCACTAGTTAAATAAAATAATATAAATCCCTTTTGTGAACAAAACTACAATGAAATCATAATTATCTTTTCCACATACAGTGCACGTAACACTTACATATTTTAAATTACTTAAAAAAAAATTTTTTTTTGGAAAACAGTAGGGGTTCCAAGCATCCATACCCATGTAAAACAGTATTACAAGAGTAGAAATACAGACGTTAATTAGCATTTTATACTGAATATTACATACTGTAGCAAACAATATTACTTAGTGGTAGGGTCCTCCATATGGAATAAATTTTCTCAAGCAATTGGAAGCCACATCCAGCAGGCAATCGGAAGGACCGGAGTTTGAATCCGGGCAAGGGCATTGCTGATTTCTCATATTTCCCGACTTCGAAAATGCATAATTAGATTCTACATATATTATCTTCCCAAGATAAGAATTTTATCAAATCAGACCCTCGGATTCCCCGCGGAGAGCCCTCCCTAAACATTGGAGTGGGAGAAGTCCACCCTCCTTGAGGTTCTGGCACCCTTTCTTCCGTAAAATACATGGATAAGGTAACAACAATAAGCCAGCTAACAGGTTCTTTTTCTCGCATGTTAATCTTTTCAAATTCAGACCATGACCGATCTCACACATACTTTGGGCCATTTTCAATGAACTACTTTAAAAAATGAAAAATACATTCATTACTTACCGAGGACTCTTGCTTGCAAACGAGGCGTTTGGTTTCTACCGGAATGCCTAGGCAAAGAAGCTGATCTATTAGAACAGTTGACAGCTTGAACGTCCTTAAGTTTTGTAGGAGTATCCGGACGAAGACCCCCTGTAAATAAAAAAATCAAAAGTCTAACCAAAATTTACAAAACTAAAAACAGTTACTATAAATCCGCGATCACCATGAATGCAAAGTACCAGGAAAACAACAAGTCCTTTAATTTTCCTAAAACAAATAACATGTGTGCACATCTAGGAGATTCTGCAGCTTATTCAACAAATTAACAATTTGAAATTACCTAAAAAGCTATTGAATATCGTGAGTGATGATGAGCTACTTACAAGCTAGATTACAAGCTAACTTGGTAAAAATATGTCGATTCGGTGCTTAAATTGCACCGGAGTCCACCGGAGCTCTAAATAAGATGAGCTCCTTTTAAAAAACTGAACCACAATTTAAAGGAGAAAAAATAGAATTCCTAACGTTTTAGTTTAACAATAAGCAGACTTTGCTATAATCTATTTCCCTAGAAATACGAACTCATGAGAACATGAGACGTTCAAGTAAAGTCCCCTCACTCACATGCGGAAACCTTTCCCTTAAGGGCATTCAATTTGGGGCAGTTTGTTTAGGGACGCGTAAATTTCTCGTCAATGCCATCGTATGTAGTGTATTGTTATCGATACTTACAGTTAGTTATCCTCGCAGGAAGGAAAATTTGTGTTCTTAAATATGCGTTAAGTGACAGCGAGTACAATAAGAGTTTTTACTCAGATAAGACTGCTCAAGCACGTCCTATATATCATCTTCCCACAGTATCCACTAATGGGGGGGAAGCGTAACCAGCAACTTTACATTTATCCTTAGGAGTCAGAATTCAGGACTCATTTTACCCTTGACATACATCTGCTTGATGGCTATAATTATATCAGCAGAGAGCCGCGGTCAAAAGAGAACGTTCTTCTCTCACGAAGATTCCCCTCATTTTTTGTTTCCACCCACTCATACCCTCATTCTGTTTCGCCCAGGAATTTTCATCAGCTATACTTTAAGTATATTTTATTTTTGTGATGATAAAAGAACTTCCCCCTACGATCAGAGCTTAAATTGGGCCGGAGCCAACCGGATATCGGCTTCCGTACTTCTTACTTTTTGTAATAAATCATAATTCTAGCCGGAACGCACCGGAGCCCTGAATAAGAAGGCTGCGGCACTTCTTTTATGTAATTGATAAACAATTTTAGTAGAAATTTTATCTCAAAATTTTATTTTAACAATAAAATTATATAATTATATAATAATTATTAATTATTAAATTATTAATTTATTAAATAATTATATAATTTTATTTTAACAATAAAATTATATTAAAAATCGCTTATTAAATTTCAATTTATCTCTTTACATTTTATTTAATTTTAATTATTTCAATAAATAATAATTAATTATCTAATAATTATCAATTAAATTATAATTAATTATACAATAATTATTGATTAGATAACAATTTATAAACATTAATTAAATAGCTATTAATTAATTTGATAATAATTAACTATTTAACTTTAAAACTATTAATGAGTTTAATAGTCATTTTATTTATTTATTTACTCTTGTTCCTCTTTGCTGACGGTCTTCCATAGGGCTCCGGCACTTCTAATCTTAGAAATTAAGCCCTGAGTCGATTAATAAAAAAGCAAGGCCTGAGAAACTTTGTACTATCTAATGGCATCACATTATTATCCCCAGATAGTCATACAGCTTGTAGCGAAACATTTCTGAAAACTTTGAAATTTCTGAATTCTTTCTTCCATGCAGCAGCAGTTAAGAAGTTGCATGCGGTCACATTCGGGTTGATGCACCATCCACTTCACCACAGTTTTATGGCCGGCAAACACTTCACCAGCTGATGCTCCCGTGTCTGCTTCATCTTCGACATTAAAGTCATCTTCCTCAACACTTTGTTTTCTCACACTTTCTATAAATTCATCATCATTTAGAATTTGAAACTCAGGGTCTGAATCATACACCATCCATTCTGCTGTATCCTTAGCACTTTCCTCAAGTGACAAGCCATCCTCATTTTCTCCTCATTTCCCTTTCCTTTTCTTGAGTCTCTTTTTCAGTTGATTCTGAAAAATTCTGAAATTCTGAAAGCGATTCGGATAGTCGAAATTCGGATAATCGTAGTTTTACTGTACGTTTCTCACTCTGCAAAGAAAATCCTATGTAACAAACTAAAAAATTACTCATATGGGTGTAAGAGATTTATTTATTTATTTTCTATTTTATCAGAGTGATAAAGTGCTCCTTTCAAAACCTTTATGCTGTTAAAAATATGTTATGTTTTTCGACAACAACTTTTTAAACGTTTACAATACAATTAGCAAAACGCATTTCTAATGCCGTATATAAGCTGTTCTACAATAAGACTACAAATGCTCTGGTAAAGTGAAAACAGTGTCTTCACCTGTATATCCAAAGTAACAAGACATGTTTTGGTTAAATCTTGCAGTTCGAAGAGGTTTCAATCTTATGAGGCACCTTATATTATTAACCACCATTATTCGCTAAAAAAATTCGGTTTTTCAGTCTGCGAACTATATCTGCGTCTAAAATAGAATTTAGCGAAAATAATAAAATTATAAATCAGCACACAGACTACAAGCAGCTATTAGTTAATCTTCTGTTTAGTTTTATTTAAACGGCAAAGAACTGCTTTTATTTGATGGAATGTTAACTTTAATTAAAAAGAAGAATGAAATATTCATACGATTTTTTTTTTTTTTTCCTGGTTTGTGTATGAGTAAATTTAAGATTCTATTTAATTTACGTGCCATACATTTATGCATGAGTAGATATTTCTCATTAAAAAATAATTTCATTGAGAGTGGCTTGTTTTACATACAAAGATAACAAGCTTCAAATATGTTCTCAGGTGCTAAGCTGCAATTTACTGCCTCTCTTCTCTAATGACGTCGCGGTTTACTAATTATATGGGTTCATTACTAATTACAAGGTTCACTGTTCAGCCTAGATGATGCTGGAAATAAAAATGGTATTTAATAGCGCTTCTGCAACATCTATCAAATTTTATTGATTTTAGAAGCAATACGCCGCTTCTTCCACCTATCTTTTTAAGTCGTGCCTCAGCGACGTATTTTATGGAATACTAAGTGTTCCTCATACTTTTAGAATATACGAAGTTTAATAATCTTCAGCAACGCCAGAAATACATTCTTCACCTAACACAGGTGGAAAAAAATGGATGCTTAATATGACAGCCACATCACGGCAAATAAGAACCTTTTTGCAAACTACAGCTGGCAAAGTCTTAACATATTACAAAAACTCGATAAAGCGCAATGACCGGAAGATTAAACAGTGAATGAAGAGAAAAACAAAACAGGGGGAAAAAAAAAAAAAAAAAAAAGCTTTCAGATTTTTTATTGTGCCCAAAAAGGACATTCTTTTCATTATATTAAAGAAATTAAATAATGAAGAATCTGCATGAATGTATGTATGTTTCCCGCACTGTGAAAAACAACGGTACCTAGAGACATCAAATTTTTAATAACGTAGTCCTCCATTCGAATATGGACATCTGGAAGCCCAGATTTGGAATTTCGAATTTGTTTTATTATCTATTTCATGTTTTGAAAAACTTGAACGAATTTTTTGATTAACAAACTCAACGATTTCAAAGAGAGCAATGGCAACACTATATGGGAGAAAAAAAAAAAAAAAAAAAAAAAAACAACTTATCTCCAGTGCGTATCGAAAATTCTAAAGATATGCTTTTTTAAAATTATTTTGTGATATTGCTGTTGTATTGAATTTTATGGTTTAAGTGGGAAGAACTTGATATCTAATAAATAAAGGTAACACACAAAACGTTAAAAATTCCCTATGGGCATAATATAAAATCTGAAAGCGTTCAGATATTTTTTTAAAAATTTCTTTAAATAAAATACAGGGCGATAATATTTAACGGCTATAATCTGAAAAGTGAAACGGACATTTAAAGTGAACCGACGCAAAGTACCGTTTTGAGAGCAATATCCCAATCGAGACTAATGTTCCTTTTGGGCTAATAAACAGATACAAACGCTTTGAAAGTCAGATTATTCGTTTTAGTATAGACGTTAATTATATATAATCACTTCAAAAGCAGCTAATTAATTAAAAATATAAATACACTGCATATCAAATTTAACGAGTGTTACCTCCTTGAAAACTACACTAACTTCAGCAACCTTATAAATGTGATAATATTAATTTCTACATATTTAATTTATTCAAAAATCGATTTACGTTTTTGTTTGCATTTTAACATTTAGTCATTTTAACATTTTAAAATTACTGGCGCACAATGATATATAACGCATGGATACTGCTCCCTATTTTACGTTCCTCGTCGAGAGACCATATCGTTGTTGAATGGGTATCCATTTTCTTTGTTTTTACGGGTTGCTTAGGCAAGGAAAAATTCAATTGTTTAATAATTTAATAATAAATAAATATGAAAATGGTGTACCATATATTCGGGGAGGAAGAACTAACTTATGTTCACTTCTTGATTTCTCCGCTCCGGAGGGGAAAAAAAAAAAAAAAAAAAAAAAAAAAAAAAAAAAAAAAAAAAAAAAAAAACCCAGAGGGTGAGACCGAGAGAATAGAAATTCGGTAATATCAGTTTGGTATTTAGCAGTTCATAAATCGCTCAGAAAAACTCATCATAGTTTCGGAAACAATGCAAAAATATCTAATGACATCTTAACAAAATCGCCAAATTCTCTACATGCTAGCTACACCCGATAATATTTTTTACACATGGGAAAAATCATTAATTTGCATGATAATTTAAACTTATTCCACTAACGGCGTAAATGATTAATTTTACATTTGAGCAAATAGAGGAAATGTTAACAATGGGTACTTCGTATCTTTAAAAAAAAATCTGATGTGTACTCACATGACTTCCTTGTACGGAATATTAAATTATACGCATTTTTTCTTGTATTTCATTTAAACTTATTGGATTGAATTAAATCTACTTCCGACAGCGCATAAACCACAATAGAATAAATGCATTCTTTAAAATTCACTCT